GGAGGGGCGGGGGGGGGGGGGGGGGGCTGGGGAGGGCGGTTCTCTCTTCAGCATCGCCCCAGCTCCCTGAGTGACCTGGCACCACTCGCTGGGCCTCTCAGGCGGGTTCCACCTGTGACACAGTGAAACTGTCCTTCAAGACTGCCCCTGCTCCTGTTCCCGGGGAGGCCTGAGGCCGGCCAGGTTCCAGTCCAGCCCAGCCTGGCCCAGACACGGGTGGCCTGGGGAGGGGGGCAGGTGCAGGCCGGCGGGGGCACCTCCTGCAGGAGCCGGTGGGGAGAGGAAAGCGCTGAGTCGGCACTCGGAGCCCCAGCCACCTCCGCTCCTGTTCCATTATTCATCCCAGTAAGAGGCTCTCCCTCCGCCACCGACCCAGGCCCGGCTCGAGAAATGCCTTTGCCTCCCCCCACTCCACACCCCCCTCAGCTGGAAACTCTTAAGCAAAAAGGTCGTCAAGATGATTAAATGCGAACAGATTTTAGCTCTTTTTCTACTTTAATTAAAAATGTGCTCTTCGTTCAGCGGAAGCTGGAGACGGAACCGTAGCTCCCGAAGGCCCCTGGGCTGAAACGTGGGGGGTGGGGGGGGCACTCTGAGATGTCGGAGGGCTGGCCCTGGGTGGCCTGGGGTCGGGGGCCTGCCTGGAGCCGTGTGCCCACAGGCCCTGTCCACAGGGGGCAGCAGGAGCCCCACGGCCTCTGGGCACCGGAGACAGAGCCAAAACGGGGGCAGGGGGCGGGTGAGCAGGTCTGCACCCTGGATCTGGGGTGGGAGTGGAGTGGGGAGCAGAAGGAGTTCCACTCCATAGACCCTCACTGCTGGGGAGCCCCAGTCTGGAGTGGGAACAGGTCAGCATCCTCAAGAAGGGCTGGGGTAAGTGAGAAATGGTCATGTGACTCCCAAACTACCTGGGAGCAAACACTGGAGTGGCCCAGGGTACCATGAGCAACGAGGTGGCGAGAGAGGCAGCCAGCAATGGCCTCATAGGCTTTCAGCAGGAGGACCACAGAGCCGGACAGTGGCTGGGAGGCTGCATGCAGGGCAGCGGTGGGAAGGGTATGGGAAGGGGTGAGACAGGGACACAGTGCGTCTTGTTACAAAGATGGGGAGATGGGCCTGGCCAGCGTGGCTCGGTGGTTGAGGGTCGCCTTATGAACCAGGAGGTCAAAGTTCCATTCCTGGTCAAGGTACATGCCCAGGTTGTGGGCTCGATCCCCAGAGTGGGGCGTGCAGGAGGCAGCCGATCCATGATTCTCTCTCATCATTATGTTTCTATCTCTCTCTCTCCCTCTCCCTTCCTCTCTGAAATCGATAAAAATCTATTGGAGAATAAACAGAAAGATGACGGGGATCAGGAAGAAGCCAGCAGGAGGACTCTACCCTCTCTCCTCCCCGCCTTCTGCCAGAGATCAGGATTCCAGAGGAGGAGTGGCAGGGGAAGGGATTTGGTTGAGACACCTGAGAACATCCGCAGCGGGAGGAGGGAGGGAGGGCAGGGCGGGGGAGCTGGCACAGGCTGCAGGAACCACAGGAGCCCACGGCCCTTGCTCACCCGTCCCATTTCCGGTCTGGCCCCAGCCCTGGGCAAGCCCTGGAGCAGAGTGTCAGAGAGGGTGGTTGCATTTGACGTTCCCGTCCACACCGCCTCTGCGTCCTGCGGGAGAACAGACTGGACCCGAGGGACAGGCCTCCTTCCACTTCCTGTACCTGTGCTGGGGGGTCCCGTCTGCCCTCCCCTCAGGAGCAGAGTTGGCCCCGAACCCCGGGAAGAAGACTCACCCTTCCTAGTGAGTCAGTCATCCTGGTGTTGGGGGGCAGCCCAGAGCCCACCCCACCACCCAGCTCCCAGGCCAGGAAGCAAGCAGCTCTGATCAGCTTTGGGAAAGGGGTCTGCAGAGAGGCATCTGGGACCCTTCAGAGCACCCCAAGTCCTCCCTGTGTCTTTCCAGCCCCATCTTTACCACCCGTTCTCCTACCACCACTGTGAGCTCCACCGGACAATGTTAGGGGAACAGGAGGAGGGCGAGCCACCAACTCAGCAAGGCTCCCGGGGGAGGTCACATGCGCTGGGCCTTGACCAGGGGAGAGGACCTCACCGGGACGGGGAGGGGAGGGGAGGGACGCCTGAGCACACGGGCCGGAAGGAAGCATGGAAATGCTGAGCGATCCGTTTGGGGGCAGCATTAGGGATGCGGGAAGCAAATGGGTGGAGATGGAGCTGGCTATGCATCTTGGGGTCCCCCGAAGGCCCCCTTTTTCTTGTTGGTGATGGATCTCTCTCTCTCTCTCTCTCTCTCTCTCTCTAGTTGAAATGCCCATCCTGCCCCCAGGGACAGGCAGCAGGCTCCAAGTCAAAACCTCCTACTTCTCCAAGAATGGCTCCGGTCCACCCTCTCTCCTTCCAAATTTAGTGACCCGGTCTGGCTGTCTCTGGCGCCCATCAGCCTGGTCCGCTGGCCTCTCTCCCTGGCTGCTGTAGTGGAATGGGCCTGTCTGCCTGGACCTTGGGTGTCGCCTCTCCCACTCCCCCAGTTCATGGGCTGCACTGCACGTCCCACCTAGACGAGCATCCTGGCACCTGCTTGTCCAGGAAGAAAATCTGCCAGGAGAGGAGAGGGGTGCTGGCCTCACTCTAGGTGTATGCGAGACCTGACACCTGGGTTCCCACAGCCCCACTTCTCTGAAACAGCTACACCCAAGCAGCCCCCATGCCTTTGGCCTTCCGTCCTTTGTTCTACTTTTAGAAAAACCAGGGACTCCGTGGCTGGGAGTAAGGAGCCTATTTTGATCATCCAAATGGAGCAGCATGGGGAGGGTAGCTGACAGGGCCGGTAGCGTGTCTCTGTTGGCGGGCACTGCCTTGCCCGGAACTCGCTTTTCCTCCCCACTGTTAATTATCAAAATTAACCGAACGCTATAAATAACCCAACTCGGAGACTTGAAGAGCCTCACTTCTAATTAATTCATTTTCAATCAAGACACCTCTGCGCCCCCCTACCCTAGAATCGGAGGGATGGGAACCTCATAGTGCAGCTTTTTCAAATATTGAACTTGACTGTCCCCCTTGCTCAGGAGCTGGGAATGCACAGAGGGGGAGAGAGAGAGAGAAAGAGAGAGAGAGAGAGAGAGAGAGAAAGAGAGAGAGAGAGAGAAAGAGAGAGAGAGAAACCACTCAGCTTTCTTGGAAGGAGGTAGCCTATAAATAACCCCATATTGGTGCATTTGATGGGCTGGATTGGCTTTTCTTGTAATGAGGAGACATGGAGGGTGGGGGTGGGGTGCTGGAGACTTCCATCTGCCTCCTCCTTTACTGGGCAATAAATTTAAAGCAAGACCCTGAGCACCATCCAAGGCCTCTATGTTGGCTAGAGCTGGGGAGACTGATCGATAGGAGGAGGAGGAGGAGGAGGGATGGGAAGGGGGGAAGAGAGGGAGAAAGAGAAAATGCCAGCCCTAGACAAGTGCAGGGAGGGGGAGAGAATGGGAAGGGGAGAGGAGAAAGAAAGAGAAGGGGAGAGGAGAAAAATGAGGGAGGAGGAAGGAGGGAGACAGATGAGAAAGGAAAAGGGCGGCAAGGGAAAAGAGTGACAGGGAGGAGAAGGGGTGGGAGGGGCATGTCCATCCCCACCTTGTACCGTGACCCCTGCCAGAGACCCCGCGGCTGCTCTAGCGCCATCCTGCCTTGTGCCCAGCTGCCTCGTGTCAAGATCCCCCCGTGTCTCCTCTCCCAGAGCTGTTGACATCCTTCGAGAAATCATGTGGCCTGTGTGCCCCACCCAAGTGCCCAGCAGCCCCCAGCAGGCAGGCCCTGGCTCCTGGCTCCCTGCCCTTGGGGGAAGGGGCCCGGGCCAAGAGGGAGCAGGCCTCCCATGGGATCTGCTCATTGTCTTTCTGGACCCAGTGCCCGGCTTGACGTGGGTGGTGGACAGGGGAGGCGGGGACAGAGATTGAGTCAGAAGAGAGGAGAGAAGGGAGAGACAGGAAGGGAGAGAGGAGACGGAAGCAAAGGCACAGAGAGACGGAGAAAGAGGGGCTGAGCTAGAGAGGAAGGATGAGAAAGGGAGAGAAAAGCAGAGACGTAGAGACAGACATGGAGATGGACAGGAGGGGAGCCGAGAGAGGTGGCTCTGATTCAGCGCCAGCTGGAGCTGAGGCCTGGGAGGCCAGGGCTGGGTGGGCTCCCTCGAGTGCCGTGAACTTGGGCAGGTGATTTCTGCCCTCCGAACGCTTGCCCAACTGCACAATGGTTGTGACATCAGCCCTTTCATCCCCCGGAGGTTGTCGTGAAGATTAAACAAGGTTAAACGCACACAGAAATCTTGACCAGGGTCTGGCACAGAATGAGTGCTCCGTTCGAGATGGCGCTACTACTAGCAGGACTAGTAGGAGTCCTAGTCCTAGTGGCAATGCTAGTGTCATCTTCCTCCTCTAACCCCTTTGTGAGAGCCAGACTGGGGTCCCCCAGAGCAGGGCTGTGGCCTCCACCCCATCCCGGGAGCTTCCTGAGCCGTCTCCTTCCATCAGGCTGGGAGTCCCCTGAGGCGGGGGCAGCCCAGGTCCTCTTCCCTCTGAGCACCCACCCTGGCCTTTCGTGGGCAGAGGGTCCCAGGCAGGGGGCAGGTTGACTTGCTCACGGAGTGGCTGCCGCTTTCGTGGGCAGAGGGTCCCAGGCAGGGGGCAGGTTGTTGACTTGCTCACGGAGTGGCTGCCCGTGGAACTCATGGCCTCGGGGGCTGACTCATTCTCTCATCACCTCCGGCAGCCTCCCGGCCTCCTGTTACTCCTGTTACCGTCCACCTGGTCCTCCTCCTCCAGCTGAGATGAAGGGATGGACCAGGTGGGGAGAGTGGACTTTTCCCACTGACATCCTGTCCCTGGGCCTCCCTTTCCAGGGAGCTGGGGAGGGGGCTGCTGGGAGCCAGCCCCCGGGCAATCTGATCTCCATTAGCCCCTTCTCTGGTTCTCATTACCAGGGCCCAGGCGGCTTCGGCTTCGGAAACGTGTAATTTCCCCGCGGCTTTTCTCTCCTTCCTCTGCCTTTTGAGGTCCCTCTCCCATCCCAGTCCTCCTTGAAGGCCCCTCCTCCAGTGGACCAGCAACAGGGGTGTAGAGCCCAACTTTATGGGGGAGCTTATGACACGACCCTCAATCTCAGCCCAACTCTGGATCCAGGGCGCAGGATGGCGCCTTTCTTCCTAAATAAAAAGCATCTCCCCTCTCACTCACTCCTTCTCCCTGGGCTCCTTATACCTCCCCTCCCCCACTGGTAGCATATACCACCAGAGTCTGGGAGAGAGGGCTGTCGAAGGCCCCACTGGGGCCCCACAGAACGTCCCTGTCAGGCTCCAGGGCACCCAGCTTTGTGCCTGCACTCAGGGAGGCAGGCAGGGATGAATGGGCTGCATGAATGCTCAAACAAACAAACGAAGACATGGTAGCAGGGAGGGACAAGAACTCAGCCAAAGAGAAAAACCGAAGCCGGGGATGCTCATCCCCCCAGTCTATTTCTCCAGCCTCATCACCCATTGTGTTTCCTCTTGGAACTGCCTCACTCCCTCCTACTCGCCAGTCACAACTTGGCACAGGAATCACCTCCTCCAGGAAGCCCTCCATGTTGACCACTTGAACCTCAGGCACACTGCTACCCCCTGTCACAGGACACTGTGGCATGGTCAGTGATTGCCTTCGCTCTCTGTCTGGGTGCTCAGCCCCTTGGGGAGGGGAGTGATTGTGTCTGTTATCTCTCTGGGGCCCTCCTTGCCTCCTGCAGGCCTGGTATTAAGTTGTTTTTTTCTCCTGTTAATCTTGTCTTGTGTCAATTTTATTTTATTACTAATCCAGCCATAAGAACTAAAGAAGGGCCCTAACTGGTTTGGCTCAATGGATAGAGCAGGTTCCATTCTGGTCAAGGGCATGTACCTTGGTTGCGGGCACATCACCAGTGCAGGAGGCAGCTGATCGATGTTTCTCTCTCATTGATGTTTCTAACTCTCTATCCCTCTTCCTTCCTCTCTGTAAAAAATCAATAATATATGAATGAAGGAGCAATGAACCAACAGCAGCCTAAACTCCACCTGTAGAGGATTAGGGACGTCAAAGCAGGCGTGCCCCTCTGTGAACTTTATGTAGCCATTAAAAGCTATAATTAGGAAGCAAGGGGCAGCATGGGGAGAGTAATAAGTAGAAAAAAGTGGAATTGCAAGTCTATCTAAATTCAATATGCCATGTGCTCAAGGACCAGAAGGGAGCAATTGTACGTTGTTGTTTTTTTTAAAAACCCTCCTTTAATGTTGGGTTATGATGTTTACAATTCACAAATGGCTTTTTAAGGACTTTCTGATGCCTTACAAAGGGCAGGGAGGAATCCCCACGTGAACAGAAGAGAATGTGGGCAGGGGGTTCCCATCATCTCCTTCTCCGGCTCCTCACTGCTCCCACCCCCTCCTCAGGCCTGGACAGTGGCCTGGCCTCGCCCGGATCTGCTGGAGGAGGAGAGAGCACCCTGCTTGCAGGGGAAGGCGGCTGCAGGGCCTAAACAGCCTTGATTGAATATCTAAATGGACAGGCCTGGGCAGTGCCCAGATGGAGTGTGGCAGACATTGTCCCTGCCCTCTGGGGTTTCCAGGATGATCCAGACGTACAGATGGGGACAGACATGGATGGGCAGCCAGGAACACATATAAAACAGAATGTGAAATCAGACTCTGTGTGTGTGCACGTACCTATAAGGTGACTGTCTCTCTTTTCCTCTACCTGGTGAACTCCTATTCACCCTTCACGGCCCCATTCATTTGTCCAATCATCCATGTATTCACTTGTCATGGATATCTGTTGCCCAGCATCACTTTGCCCTTTGTAACTTCCTCTTCCTAACTCTTTTGTGGGGAGAAGTTTATTTTCACTCCAGGAATGGTCATGATGTGACCAAAGCCTAGTGAATTAGTGTAGACAGTACCCTAAGCCATGTGATTGGCTCAAGGATGGGCATATCGCTAAATCCACCCAATGAGAGTTAGGGCTGGGCTTCCTTTGACACGATAGGGAGGGAAGCACTTTCTTCACATTGGGGTGCCAAGCTGGAGTATTGTAAGTCCTCTTACCATCCCTTGGGGAGAGCCTGGCTGAGAATGAAGCCAACACAAGAAGAAAGGCAGAATCAAGCAGTGCCCAGTGGTGCCTGGCTGGTGTGGCTCAGTGGTTAAGCATTGACTTATGAACCAAGAGGTCACAGTTTGATTCCCGGTCAGGCCACACGCCCGACCCCTACTGTGGGAGGTGCAGGAGGCAGCCGATCAATGATTCTCTCTCATCATTGATGTGTTTTTTTTTCTCTCTCTCTCCCTTCCTCTCTGAAATAAATTTAATTTTTTTTTTAAAAAAGAGAGGTGCTCAGTGGCAACATTTAGCGCTTGTGTCTAGCTTTGCCTGGATCTTGACCCTAATCCTACTCCAGGAAAAGTCAGTTATGTTGAACCATAAATTCTCTTTTTTTGCTTAAGCCCGTTGAGATGGTTTTCTGGATTGACAACCTAAACACTCCTGACAAATGCATCATTCCACTTACCACACACTCACAGCGCTCCTGCTCTGTGCCAGGGGCTGGGTGGTGGAATCCAAGGGTGACTAAGGCACAGCCCCTGCCTTCGAGGAGCTCAGAGTCGCCTGAGCTTTGTCCAAATGCCGCCCCTCCGTGCTCCTGGCCAGCTCCCAGACAGAGAGCTCTGTTCTCCGCTCCGCTCCCCAGCAGTATGTTCACATTATTCCTTCAACAAATAGTCATTCGCTGCCCACAACACACCCGGCTCTGCAGTTCCTCCTATCGTCCCAGACTCTGTCTGTATCGGTCCCTGTCTCTGCCTCCTAGACTGCCAGTCTTTGACGATGGTGCCATGTTGGTGACTCCCCAGTGCCCGACACCTGCTGCTTGCTCATGTTTGTTGAATGACTATAGATGAGTGCATATCTCTGTATGTTCGTGTGTGCTGGGGTGAGGCAGCGAACAGCCGAGGAGAAGGACGACATGACGTAGAGCAGAGGGGCCTGCAGGCTTCTAGATCTAGCGGGGGCTCTGCCCCAGGAGCCAGCCCACTGCTCCGATCAGTCCAACAAGCCACCGACAGAAGCTTTCCACGCATGGGCACCGCAAGCCTCTCTCTTCCTGCCCAGGCCTGGAAATCCTGCCTTCCCCAAGCCCCGCCCATTGTCCCACCTGCCTCCACCTGGAGCTGAGTAAGGTGTCATCTTAGCCCCTCCCTCTCAAGCCTGGGTGCTTCCAGGGGCTAATGGATCCAATTCTTTAAA